TTTATTTATTCATGAGAGACAGAGAGAGAGAGAAGCAGAGGGAGAAGCAGGCTCCCAAGGAGCAGAGAGCCCGATGCGGGACTCGATCCCAGGACCCTGGGATCATGACCTGAGCTGAAGGCAGACGCTTAACCATCTGAGCCACCCAGGCGCCCCTGAACGTTTTGACCTTATATGAATGCCATACATTTGTGCAGTTTATGATAGGAATTGTAGTCAGATTGTCCCCGTTTTGCAGATTTAACAGAACTTTACTACGTAATGGGAAGAAGTACGGAGGCAATGCCTGGCTGTGTGGTGGGAAGAATTCTGTTTTATTGATCATCATTCTGTTTACATTTCCCAGAAAACAGTGACAAGGGCCCTCTGTGCCCTTGCTCTTTCCTTTGCTCGTACCTTCTGTTGCCTGGTGAGATCTAACCTAACCTCCGGTGCCCAGGTAGCTTTTTTGTGAATGTTGTTGAGATATTTTGAACCTTCAGGAAGAGCAAGGACAGGCATTACAAATACAGCCCAGAAGCGCACCAAACGTAGATCTTGGCATGTTGTGGAAACGCAAAAAATGTTTGTTGTGTTCATTTTCTCATTTTGCTTAAAGCGTAGTGACCACTACCTCTGGTTTAGTATTAGTATTGTGTCTTGTTCTGGTTTATAAAAAATCTAAATATTGCTGTATAGTTCAACCAGTCTCTTTAAGGTTTCTTTAAATACAGTGCAGTTGGGACACCTGCGTGGCTCAGTTGGTTAAGGTTTGCCTTTGGCTCTTGTCGTGATCCCAGGGTCCTGAGAATGAGCCCCGCATTGGGTTCCCTGCTCAGTGGGGGGGGTCTGCTTCTCCCTCTCCCTCTGCCCCTCACTCTCTGTCTCTCAAATAAATAAATAAAATCTTAAAAAAAAAAAGATTAACAAGCCAACTCCAGAATAACTCAGAGAGGTGAACTTCGCCCTACAACTATCACCCCTAAACATAACCACTGTTAACATTTAACATATATATTTTTTAAATATTTATTTGAGAAAGATAAAGCACGCACGTGCACTTGTACATGAGCAGGGTGTCTGGGCAGAGAGAGGGAGAGAAGCAGACTCCCTGCTAAGTGTGGAGCCCATGCAGGGCTCGATCTCTTCACCCTGAGATCATGACCTGAACCAAAATCAAGAGTCAGAAGCTTAACCGACTGAGCCACCCAGGCGCCCCAACATATTTTTTGTTTATGACATTTTATAAAACCAGGTATTTCTCATTTTGAGTGGTAAAGAGAAAGCTATCCAAGAGAGAAATGACGTATCAAAGAGAGAAATTCTATTCACAGCCAATCCCTAAACCCTATTATAATGTACAGCTTCCACTTTTTCCTCGCATTGAACTTAAATGTTTTTCAGGAAGCAGATTATGTATTTTAACTTTCATGTCCTTTTTACTTTCCCTCTTAGAGACTTGATAAATAGTCCCTGAAACTGTCAATACGTTGGGAATAAAAAAGGAAATCAAGGAAAGTATCTAAGTAAATAAGTAGTTGCTCTTTGATGGGGAACTGACTGAACTGTATTTTACCTTTGGACAGATTTTACAGAGATGATGAGAGCCTTGGGATACCCTCGCCATATCTCTATGGAAAACTTTCGCACACCAAATTTTGGACTTGTGTCTGAAGTGCTGCTTTGGCTTGTGAAACGGTTAGAAATGTACTTTATTAAGATCTAAGAATGAGTGCTATATTTTATTCAATAGCCACCTTTTGAAACTGGATATTGTGATGAAGCAAAGGGAAGAATTCAATAAATTTTGAGTTTGACAGACTTAGTTGTAACCTGTTAAAAATCCGTTGAGTCTGAAGAGCGCTGTGGAGAGGAGATATACCAGGCAATGGTAAAAGGAGATTTCTCAGTTAGAAGCTGACACTGGGCACTGGTCCAAGCTCCTCTTCATGCTCTCACTTTGATCAGGGAGTGACAGGGATCTGTCCACACACTCTAATGACTATACTGAAGTAGAAATCATTTAGATTCAGATTTCAATTCGTGTGAAAAACCTAATATGATTCAGGGTTGGGGAACTTTTCTGAGATCATAAATATTATAGGTGTTGCAGGCTACATAAGATCGTTGTTGCATATTCTTTCATGTGTTTTGTTTGTGATAATGCTTTAAAAATGTAAAAACCCTTCTTAGCATGCAGTCTGTACAGAAAGAGACCAAGGGCTGCAGTCCGCTGACCCCTGGTGGGTCATCAGTAACTCGAAGAACTCCAATAACTCTGCTGCTTCTCAAGCTAACTAGTTAGCCCTGGGTCAAGGCTGTCAGCCAGAGTAATAGCTCTATTTTAATTAAACTTTGAGGTCTGAGATTTAATTTTGTAAGCTGAGCCCCAAATTTGATTTTTGAAATCACTTAAATCTGTTCTTAGGTGAGGATTCACTCCCTTGGGTGCATTCTATGCTGCTTTTGAAGTCTCTCTTAATCTTACTACCTTAGCCGGGACTCAGAGAGCTTGCTGTTACAGATCCTCTCAGCTGCCTTTCTCTTTTGTGAACTTTGTACTTAATTAACTTGTCTTCTCTCTTTCTCTGAAAGGTATGAACCTCAGACCGACATCCCTTCCGATGTTGAGACTGAACAAGACCGAGTTTTCTTCATTAAGGCAATTGCCCAGTTCCTGGTTAGTTGACATTTATTTGCTGGAATTTTAATATTAAGTACATTACAGATGAGTCCCAGCTGGGGCTGTTTTCACGGTGTCTAAGCCCATCTGGTCACCAGGTTCCTGTGGAGGCATTTCGCCAGCACAGGTTTTTGGGTTTTTGTTTTTAATTCATTATTTTTTAAGAATTCTATTTAGTTGGGGTGCCTGGGTGGCTCAGTCGTTAAGCGTCTGCCTTTGGCTCGGGTTATGATCCCAGGGTCCTGGGATCGAGCCCCACATCGGGCTCCCTGCTCCGCGGGAAGCCTGCTTCTCCCTCTCTCCCTCCCCCTGCTTCTGTTCCCTCTCTCGCTGTGTCTCTCTCTGTCAAATAAATAAATAAAATCTTAAAAAAAAAAAAAAAGAATTCTATTTAGTTAGTTTAGAATACATAATATACATCATGGTTCAAAGTTTTTTCTTAATTAAGAAGCAGTATAGAGTAAAATGACTTTTTATCCTGTCTGCTGTTGACCCAGTTCATCCCCATTTCCATCCTCCAGAGTTTTTTACACATAGATAAGCAAACACAGTATACATTCTGTCCCCTTCCTTTTGCACAAATGGTGGCGTACGGTACACCACTGCTTAGAATCTTGCTTTCTTCACTTAATGGTACGTTTTGGAGAACTTTCCAAATACATATCCAGTTTCCTCATTCTGTCTTATACCTGAGTAGTATTGCTTTCATGAGTATACCATAATTTATGTAATTTATATAGGTAGGCTTTAGATTGTAACTTTTGCTCTTTGAAACTATGCTGTAGTGAATAACCTATACGTATCACTTTGTGACCGTATCCCTAGGGTAAGTTCTTAGGATTGGAATTGCTGCGTCAAAGATGGGTGGATTTCTAATTTTATTGTCATTTACCAAATAGCTCTCCATCAAGATTGTATAAGTTTAGACACCGACTTGCAGTGCTTGAGTCACTTGGAAGTTTGACTCAATACAATCAGGTTATTGCAAATTACTTACATGGGTTTCTTTTTTTTTTTTTTTTTAAAGATTTTATTTATTTATTTATTTTTATTTGACAGAGAGAGACACAGCGAGAGAGGGAACACAAGCAGGGGGAATGGGAGAGGGAGAAGCAGGCTCCCCGCAGAGCAGGGAGCCCGATGCGGGACTCGATCCCAGGACCCTGGGATCATGACCTGAGCCGAAGGCAGACGCTTAACGACTGAGCCACCCAGGCGCCCTTACATGGGTTTCGATTTAGATTTTACATGAAAAGGGCCTTACACTATTTTTTTTTTGGTCTGAAAATAGGCCACCAAGGCACATATAAAACTCAATACTAAGAAGCTTTATCAGGCAGATGGGTATGCAGTGAAAGAGCTTTTGAAGATCACCTCTGTCCTTTATAACGCCATGAAGACCAAAGGGATGGAGGGCTCTAAGATAGGAGAGGAGGACATCAGCAAATTCAAGTTTGATCTTGGCTCAAAGGTAAGGACAATGAAAGGCTTCCAGTGTGGGACAGTATGTGTATTTCTTAAACTCTGAAATGGAACATGTCAAATACTCATGTCATCGCTTCTTTCCTTACTCCTTGACTGAGAGCAGTTTGTCAATTCTGTGCTCATCAGCATTTGGATACAAAAAGAAGTCACAGTAAATTAATCCGACTACTTACCAAAAGCCCACTATATGCCAGGCTCAGTTCAGATGCTGGGGATACAGATGTGAACAGCAAGGACAGAAATCCTCTGTTCCTATGGCTCAGTGGGGGAGTCAGACTAAACCACAAAGCAGAAGGAATGACAGGTCAGAGGTGATCAGGGTGTGGGGAATGGTAAAGCAGGGCTTGGGCAGGTATCTTCAGCAGGGAGATGGGATGGGTGACGTCTTCAGCAGAGATCCGAAGGAGGGAAGGAGCAAGCCGTGCAGTGGAAGGGGAAAGGTAATCCTTGATAAAAGTGTGCTTAGTGTGTTTGAGGAAACGGGGCATTCGAGGAGAGCGTGAGAACTCGGAGGGGGCGGTGACAGACCCCGCCCTGTGGTCCCTGCACAACCACTGTAAAGAGGTTGACTTTGAGGTGGAAAATCATTGTGTTTTGAGCAGAGAAGTACATGATTTGAAACTTCATATTAAAGGTGTAAGACAGAATGAGAAAAGGATCCCTCTGGCTGCTGGGTTGAGATCAGACTGAAGGGGGGGTGAGGGTGCAAGCAGACCTGTTAGAAAGCAAGAGATGACAGTGACTTTGAACAGAGTGGTTGGTGATGTCAGGAGCTCAGCTGAGATGGGAGAGAGCCGAGCTGCCACGCATCAGAGGACTTGATGAAAGCAGCAAGCCAAAAATGAAAGTTAAGTCTGTAATCACTTACTGTGATGGTTTGGTCAAGGGGTTAAAAGCAGAGGAAGCGTCACCTCTCCCTCCCGCCACGCTGTTCCTTTTTCTCCCAGGAGTTGGCACACCCTTCAAGGGGTTGTCTCCCAAGGGAGCTCTGAACAAAAGCCTCCGACAGTTTTATGCACCCTGAGGTAGGGGAGGACTAGGAGTGGAAGAGTGTCCGCAGGTTTTCTCCCCAGCTCCCCCACAAGGAGGCCACGGCAGAGGCGCTGAAGAGGACCTCAGCCCACCATGAAGAGACCTGGGAGTGAAGGCCCTGGGACTAGGAATGCACATGATGAATGCGGGGGTCAGAGGCCCTGAGTCCTTGACTGCCAGTCCCTTCAGAGCCTGCAGTGTCTTGCTGAGCCTGGGCTCAGGTCACCCCCATCAGGCCTGCTGGAGAAAGCCTTTGTGATCACCTGTGGTCAGGCCGGGGAAATCACACCTAGGTTTTTAATCAGGTCCAGATTCCTCTGGAAAGAAGTGGCCAGGAGTTAGAACCTAATTTGAATGTGGATCTTGTGGAGTTGGATGTGGGTTGAGAGAAAACGGACCATGCAAGGAAGATCCTACAGCCACACTGTCTACTAGAACTTTCTGTGATGATGGGTGTGTTCTCTATCCATGCCATACTGTGGCAGCCACTAGCCACATGTAGCTAGCACCACCGAATAATTTTATTTAAATTTAAATAATTTATACTGTATGGTGACTAACGTAACATAATAAAATAAAATAAATTTAAATAATTTAACATTGAAATGGCCACGTGTGGCAAGTCCACACTGTTTTAGTCATCAGAGCTCTGAAGTTTTTGGTCTGAGCAACTGCAGGGGCGAAGTTGCCTTTACTGAAATGGAGGGGAGTGTGAGAGGAGTGGGCCTGGTGGGAAAGGTGGGGAGTTTGGGTTGGAACACGTTCAGTATGAGGTGTCCGGCCTCGGATCGTAGCAGGTGTTACAGCCAGGAGCTTAGGAGGGAGTGTGAGTGGAGAAGAGTTTAGGGGACTGAACTCTGATGGCCTCCAGGGCTGGGAAGGATGAGACTCCTGCAAAGGAAATGGGACGTTTGCTGCTATGAGGTGGTTTGGGGAGCTGGAGCTGGAAGGAGCAGAACCCTGGAGGACTAAGGGAAGGGGAAGAAAGTCAGCAGCTGTGAATGCAGAGGGAGACATGCTACTGGTGGTTTGGGAATAAAAGCAAGGTGGGAATTGGAGAGAGGAAGAGTGAACAGAGCAAGGAAATGTTTGGGTTCTCTGGAGAAGTTACCATATGCAAGGAAGTGGGGGTGACCTGCGCACCCTAAGGAAGAAGCTTGTGCTGCACACTAGAGGCCGCCGTCTTTGCAGCAGCCGCCACCCTTGGGGGAGCCAGGTACTGCCGTGGGGCTGTGTGCTGGTTAACTCACGGGAACCTCAGCAGCCCTGCGCTGTGCCGTCCAGAGGCGGAGAGCCGGGGGGCGGCAGGGTTCTGCAGTAAGACATGTGTCTCTCAGGTTCCCCTCTGGTCGCCCTGCTATTGTCGGGGTCCCCTGGTGTGTCCTCGTCCAAACAGGAAGAATGTCACTTTCACCCTCCTATAGTTCCTGGTTAAAGATTACATTTGACTTGAGATTTGGATTTTCAGAGAGACCCAGATGTCCTGGGAGCACTCCTCCACAGGATGTAAATATGTGTCTTATGGAAAACGTGTTCAGTAGTCCGGTATCCTGATGGGAGGCAGGAATTGATACTAACAAAGCGTTTATTTTTTATTTTATTTTATTTTTTTAAAGATTTTATTTATTTATTTATTTGAGAGAGAGAGAGAAACAGCATGAGAGGGGAGAGGGTCAGAGGGAGAAGCAGGCTCCCCGCTGAGCTGGGAGCCCGATGTGGGACTCGATTCCAGGACTCCGGGACCATGACCTGAGCCGAAGGCAGTCGCTTAACCAACTGAGCCACCCAGGCGCCCGTCAAAGCGTTTATTTTTTTATTATTTTTCTAAGATATTATTTATTTGAGAGAGAGAGCGCCTGCGCACGAGCAGTGGGGAGGGTCAGAGGGAGAGGGAGAAGCAGACTCCCCTCTGAGCAGGGAGCCTGACGAGAGACTTGATCCCAGGACACTGACATTGTGACCTGAGCTGAAGGCAGACGCTTGACCAACTGAGCCACCCAGGCGCCCCAAACTGGTTGTTTCTGAATGTCTATTAAAAACCCGTCACTGGGGGCGCCTGGGTGGCTCAGTCATTCAGCATCTGCCTTCGGCTCAGGTCATGATCCCAGGGTCCTGGGATCGAGCCCCACATCGGGCTCCCTGCTCTGTGGGAAGCCTGCTTCTCCCTCTCCTGCTCCCCCTGCTTGTGTTCCCTCTCTTGCTGTGTCTCTCTGTCAAATAAATAAATAAAATCTTTAAAAAAACAAAAACCAAAAAACCTGTCACTGAAGTTTCTGGTTTTGATATTTTCCCTCCAGATTGCAGATTTGAAAGCAGCCAGGCAGCTTGCTTCTGAAATCACCTCCAAAGGAGCATCTCTGTATGACCTGCTGGGCAAGGAGGTAGAGTTGAGGGTGAGCCATGTTCAGATACTTAAATACTTCCTTGGCTAAGCATTTTTCAAGCTTTTCTTTCCGATTCTGCTTTTTCCTGGCCTTCTCATTTTGTCACACTGTATCTGATTAAATGAGATAATCTGCAGGGTGGTAATAGCATTAGCTGCTAGTCCTGCTTCTAGTGGCCCTGGTCTATTCTTAATAGCTTTAACTTCTAGTTCAGGAATGGCAATTATGTAGCATGTTGCTGGAACTTTCCTCCTTGTGCCCATGGCAGACTTTCCTGGGGAACTCAGCATTCCTGTCTACAAAGTGCTCTTCTGAGCCCCTGGTTCCCAAACCTTCCTCCCACGTGGAATCCTGTGGGGACCTGTAAAAACTACTGATACCTGGCTTCCATGCTGATGTCACTGGTTTGGAGTGGACCTGGGCATTGGAGTGATTCTAATGTGCAGCAGAGCTGGACAGCCCAACGAGGGCTGTCACTATTCCTCAGCTGAAGTTGGTGTCACTGTTAAGATTTATTTGCAATCCTTGTTCTAGCCAATGCCAACTAAGAAGAATGCTTCATCTACTATGTTTACCGAGCTGTTTAATAAGAGTATGGCTCCTAAAACCCCTATAGAGCTCCTGTAGTCCTTTTAAATCACCTCATGTCTAGGTTGTCCCCCATCCAGTGAATCAGAATGTCTGGGGGTGAGAGCCAGGCATCCAGCCTTTTTTTTTCCCCCTAAGATTTATTTATTTATTTGAGAGAGAGAGAGATGCACAAGCAGGAGGGGCAGAGAGAGAGGGAGAGAGAATATCAAGCAGACTCCGCGCTGAGTGTAGAGCCCAATGTGAGGCTTGATTTCACAACCCTGAGATCATGACCTGAGCTGAAACCAAGAGTTGGTCGCTTAACCAACTGCACGCCCGAGGCACCCTCCAGGCGTCGAGCTTTTAAGGATCTCCAGGTGATTCTAATGTGCGGCAGAGTTTGGGACCCACTGGTTTAAGAAGAAATGGAGTATTGTTTAATTCTTACCTGTAAGGATTTATGGCATTTGAAGCATACATGCTCACTTCTAGTGTTTTTATATTAAATGCATTTAATTCGTTTTATTGCAGTCAGGTATGTCGGCCATGACCTCTCTCTCACTGCCTGGCCTGTGTTCTGGCATCACTGCTGTAGTGTAATGGTATTTTTCCTCTGGCTTTTCATTTCTGCCCCAGGAGCAGACTGGAAGCAGGGGACTGGAGTGCCAGCTCACCATCATTGATATATTAAGCTAGCGATCGCCACCTAGTAAAGGGCAGTTGACAGAACAAAACTGCCACTCCTATCTAATAGCTAATTTAGATAACTAACAAGGCAGCTCCAGGATTTCTGTGTTTTCTCTTTATAGTGCAGTTTGTGCCCGTGTCTACACACATGTCTAGCAGACCTGGAGACAGACCTATCAAGAGCTGGTTACTTGTTAATTGCCACAGAGTGGCTTCATTGTGAGACTTCAACCAGGATTCCACTCGGGACTCTTGGCACCATCCTGTAATGAATTGAAAGAATCAGTGGCCGAAGTGTTGCCATGGGAGCCAACTACTCAAATTCTGTATACAGCTGTGATCTGAGGAAGATTCTCTATCCAGTATTGGTTTTTCATACACTCAACAAACATTTCTTGAGGACTAGCTCCAACCACAGACAGGCAAGGCACTGTGCTCTGTGTAGGTCATGATCCCTGCCCTCCATATTTTTCTACCAGTGCTGAAATAAAGGAAGCCCGAGACAGTTTGGGAAAGTGCTGCAGGAACCTCATAACTGCATTGGTGTTAAAATCCCATGTCTCAAGTTCCTAGCACTGGTGTGATAGGCACAGATGCCTCCCTTGATTGGTTAATGGTTAATGCTAGGGGCAGGGCCAAGGTGACTCCTCTCATTGGTTACAGTTGGCAGTGAAAGGCAACTTAGAGGAAATTAATCATAGGAAAGATGATAGGGGCTGGGAGGGGTTTCAGACAGCAGGTTGAGCTGCACTTGGTTTCGGGTTCACCTGAACGAATGTAGGTAAAGAAGCAAATTTGGGAGAAAAGATGATGGGGGTAAGCTCAGTTTTGCCCCTTATGTTGTGGGAATGTGGGGCCTGTAGCTGGGGAAGGCCCAGGGCACCAGAGGGAGGCCAGGTTGGTGGTAGGATTACCAACTGAGGCCTGGCTGGCTCAGTTGGTAGAGCATATGACTCTTGATCATGGGTTGTGAGTTCAGGCCCCACGTTGGGTGTAGAGAGTACTTAAAAAAAAGAAAGACAGACGTTTGGAAGAGGGGCTGGAAGAAGTGGTTTTGCATCAGAGATCCACCCTATAATGGAACTTTCGAGAACTAATCTATAAGCCATATCCAGATTTGGGGATTGGTTTTGAGAATATCTTTTCTGAAAGTACATGTAATTTCATTTCATTGTTTCTCATAGGAACTGAGAACAGAAGCAATTGCCAGACCTCTGGAAATAAATGAGACAGAAAAAGTGATGAGAATTGCAATAAAAGATATTTTGGTAAGATTTATTTGCTTTTATTTAATGTTTTTGTGCCTAGGACTTGAAAATACTGATTTATTCCCTGCCTTCTTAAGACAGAACAATCCTGGGTGCCTGGGTGGCTCAGTTGGTTAAGCGACTGCCTTCGGCTCAGGTCATGATCCTGGAGTCCCGGGATCGAGTCCCGCGTCGGGCTCCCTGCTCAGCAGGGAGTCTGCCTCTCTCTCTGACCCTCCCCCCTCTCATGCTCTCTATCTCATTCTCTCTCTCAAATAAATAAAAAAAAAAAAGGAAAAAAAAAAAAAGAACAATCCTAGGCCTAGTGACAGAGAAGGTATATGATCATGGGGAAATGGAAGATGCAGAAGACATTCTAGGATACCTAGGTTACTTACTTCTATTTTTTTCCCTTTGTTATAAGTATGAACAACTTCTCCCTAAAAATTTGTCAGTTTTAATAATTTAATAATTTGCTTAAATTCTTCAGTACTTTTCATAAGTAATGCTCTATTTAATGGACTCTTCACACTTTAACAACTTCCTCACTGCTGGGCATTTAAGTGATTTTCAGAGGTTTTTTTTTGTTTTTTGGGTTTTTTTGGTGCTGAAACCTGGGCACAGAGATTTCTCTCTCTGTCAAGATTTATTTCAGAGAGAGCATATGAGCTGGGGGAGGGACAGAGGGAGAGGGACAGGGAGAGAGAATCTCAGGCAGACTCCTCGCTGAGAGCAGACCCTGATGCCGAGCTCGACCTGAGCTGAAACCAAGAGTCGGACACTTTAACCAACTGCGACACCCAGGTGCCCCTGGGCACAGAGATTTCTAACTAGTGCTGTGATGAACAGAATGCCATCCTTTATTGCTTACCCACAATCAATTATTTGCTCATCTCATCTGACACATTCATTTGGAGGGCAGTAGTGAGGGAGACTCCAGACTCACACTGCTTACGTTTGAATCCCACTGTGTGATCTTAGGCAAGTTACTTAACCTCCCTGTGCCTCACTTTCCTCAACTGTAAAATGGGGAGAATGGCAGTGTCTGCCCCATAGGGTCCTTATGTACATTCATTATGACAGTGCATGTTGTACATAGTCTCTGGCACATGGTAGGTATTCAGTCGTTATTAGGGATTCATTTTATTCAGTAGACACAGACAGGAGAGCCTTATGTAAAGTAGGAGTAGCATAAAACAAGGATTTGCTGAGAGTTGTAAATTCTAAGATGGATAGGTTTTTATAATATCCTTGTCATAAAACAGTACTACTCCCTGGGCGACCCAGCACCAGGGTTCAGCCTCAGCAGGTGAGGAGGGCAGGGCAGCTGAGATGGGAGGTCTGTTACATACAGGCAGACTGATCACGTAGGTAAATATGTTAAAGATAACGGAAGCGAAGTTTCTCACTGTTGGAAAAGAGAGTTGCAGATATGAAAAAGAAACTTAGAATGAACCCTGAAATTGGAGGTGATGGTTAAATGCATGGTTTTCATTGGATAGAGAGGTAGGTAGCTAGCTAGCTAGCTCTAGGAATACTTTTGCTGTGCATGCATGTTTTCATACATGAGTGTATGTCATATATTTATGTACATGCACATGCACACCCACATACACATTCATACATTTCCTAGCTCTGAGCACACCTAGCACCCAGATCTTGGCTTCTAAATGGCATTCTCCACTAAAAGGAACCAGGACTCTTGGGGAGAAGTGTCTGAGTCCAGAGCTGGGACAGGAAAGTACAAGATCCTCTTGGGCTGGAGAGCAAGGCAATGCCCAGAGAATGAAAGGGGTCTGTCAAAATCCCTTGCAAAACAGATGCCAGCCTGAGTGGGCTTCCCCTGGTCAAACCAGGGACAGTTACGCTTCAAAATAAATAAATTAGTGTAATGGGTTATGGACCATTGAATGAAATGGGAGACCATGAGTTCTTACTGAAATAAAAGTGAACATACTGAAAGCTGATGAAGAGAAGGTATTTCACATAGTTTCAAAGTAGCTCCGCCCAAAAGTACTTAGTAATTACAAAGGAGAAAAGAGTGACTTCACATGAGAATCCCGGCAGACAACCGCTTAATCAGGTGATTAATTATTGAATGCCAGGGTGAACTCCGCCTGATGTTACAGACTCCACAGGGACAAGTGGGGAAATCTGAGTGGGTCTGAGGAGTAGATTGTTGATAGTGCATCTGTGTTTATTTCATGTTTCAGTGATTGTGTCATGGTTGTGAAGGAGAGAGTCCTTATTCAGAGGAAATATACACAAATATTTAGAAGTGATGGGACCTCAGATGAGCAACCCACTCTGACCTAAGTTAGGGAAAAAATGCTTTATGTTCTAATCCAGCTGTTTGTAAGTTTGTGATTGTTTTTCAATTTAAAACTCTTTTATCTGCTGATGCTCTTGTGCTTGTCAGTGTTCTGGCTGGATCAAGTTAACATGGCATGAATGTGCCTTTAGCACTAAGTATATATTAGAATAGTGAAATGAGGGCACCATTCATTTCTTGGTGACTCCCTGTATGTATGTATGTATGTATGCATGTATGTATTATTTATTTATTATTTCCCCTTTTTTAAAAGATTAGTTTTGCAAGAGAGGGAGAGTGCGCGTGCAGAGGGAGGGGCAGAGGGAGAAGCAGACCCCCCTTTGAGCAGGGAGCCCAACGAGGGACTTGATTCCAGGACCTTGACATCATGACCTGAGCCGAAGGCAGATGCTTAATCGACTGAGCCACCCAGGAGCCCTATTATTTCCTTTTTTTTTTTTTTTTGAAGTATAGCTGACACACAATGTTACATTAGTTTCAGGTGTACAACATAGTTGGTGAACACCTTTTAATATATCTGTTGTTGCAAAATATCTATGATATTTGATAATTCTAAAAACAAAACCAAAGCAACAGTATGGATACTTAAAAGGGGTTATGATATATAGGCCATTTGTTTCAGAAAGCTAGGGAAAATTGTGTTTATCACACTGATAATTGTTTTTTTTTTTTTAAAG